ATCAAGCTATTATATATATATATATATATATATATATATATATATATATATTCAGGGTCGGAACTTTTTCAAAGTGGGGGCCCACTAGTAAGATGAATGGGAATATGAATAGGTTCATATTTAGGGGGTGGGGCCAACACTTTTCCCAAAAAACACAAAAAGGACGGGGTCCGGAGTCCTCCCCAGGGAAAATTTTGATTCCTATATGGCGGAAAATGAGCTTTCCCGACTTTGAGCTAGGTGTCTTAATGACTTAAGGACTTTAAAATCCTTCAAAACTCAAGGTTTTCCACCTCCTGAAAATGGTAAACTTTCTCATTCTTAATACAGTAAATAGGCCTGCATGTGCATGTGTATACATACATTTAAAAAAATGAGTAGTTGCATACGTGTTCATTTTCCCATGAATCAATAAGGCCCAAAGAGAAGGGGTTCGGGGGTTCTCAATTTTGATTCCTAGATGGCGGAAAATGAGCTTTCCCGACTTCTGATGTGTCTTTTAATGACTGTAAGTCTTTTTTTTTTATTCAAAATTCAAGGTTTTCCCCTCTTGAAAACGGTCAGGTAAATTTATCTCATTCTTCCTTATTACAGTAAATAGGCCTTATCTGTATAAGTTGAGTAAAGAATGTTATATAATATGACGCCGGTTGTGCTTTAGATAGATACAAACAGCTTTCCTTCTGCGCCCCTGTGTACACATTTTGTCATCATCAAACATCATCAAATTTAACCTGTTTTTTTTCAGAAGGAAAAGATTCAAGGGGCCAGCAGGACCACCCCTCCCTACATTTTTTTTAATGGGGGATAATTTTAAGTCTGAGAGTTCCATTTCCGGCCCATCTAGAGATGCCATGATCATAAATGTTCTTACCTCAGCCCCAACCATGGTGGTATACACACTCCATCAGTGAAACCACTCCCTGGTTCCGCCACTACATACACACTTATCACCTGTCACTTTCGTAGTGCACATTGGCCAGTGTGATAATCACCTCTCCTCATCCAAGTACAGTACGTATGGAAGTTGAATATGGATTAGGCCTATATTTATCAAGTAGGCCTATCAAGTAGGAGCGTGTGGCGCTGCGTGTAAGGTGCTGGACTTGTGATCGAGAGTTCAAGACCGACGCCCGACGTAGGATACTACCCACAGGGAACAGAGAAAGTTGCAAAAATATGAGCTGGTTTGCCAACTTAGTAGTGTATCAGCATTTTATTTGTCACCGAAACTGATCATTTAGGTAGAATTGGTTGCTTACTATCCAGTGACCAGGAAAATATTGACGCCAACGCCTTGCATATTCTTCGGTTTGTGATAGGCGCCGGATCCGGATTCTAAAAAAAAATACCAAGTTTACCAAAAGCGTGTTACTTTGTTCAATAGCAAGCTAATTATTCCGTCACATATATACTGTAGATATTGTTTGGTGTTTATTTATATGTTTATATCCTTAACACTTGTAACACTGCCAGGGAAATGTAATTTCTGAGTTTATCGGACAACAATTATCTCGAATCTTGAATACCAAAATATAGAAACCTTAAGTTACATTAATTTAACAAGGGTAAGCATATTGTTTTTGAGCGAAATAATTTATTTGAAAGAGTAAACATGCAGTTTTTATTAATCTAATTATTACAGCCAATACACCACTATGTTGGGTGGTGTTCGTTTATTTTGTGCCCTACAAACAACAGAAGAAAATTAATAGCGGTACCGTACTACTGCAACTTTTAAATAGGTGAAAGGGGACGTAATAATAACACGCACACCTTTTGACACAAATTGCTTGTTTAATTGATTCTCATTGATGGAGAAACATCAGTGTAAATATCATCGATTTTTAAAGTAATTGATGCTTCACAAACGGTAAATAGATGATTGGTCCGTAATCTTGGTGTCACATTTGATTCCACGCTGTCGCTGTCTAATCACGTTCAGTAAATTTGTAAAAGTACCATATACGGACGTAACTTATGGAGGAATCGCAAATTTATCGACTATGACACCTGTTATGCAGCAGTTCGTGCACTTGTTTTATCTAGAATTGTTTACTGCAATTCATTGTACTCTGAGTTGACTGTAACCATAGAGAAATTTTCTCTATGCTGTAACAGATTCTCTAAAATTACAGAAGTTGCTGAATTCTGCTGCACGTCTAATTTTTAACATCCGATCCTCTCATACTCACACATCACATCTTCTCCGCGAACTTCACTGGCTGCCTTTTAAGGTTTATTTCAAATTAATGGTCCTTGCTTTCAAGTCACTGTCTGACCTATGCCCACATATATCTTTACAGATGTTCTGATTGGATTGGATGCTAACCACCTTTGACCTCAACATCATTATCTGCTTGCTTACCGTATTCATCTTTCGTAGACAACCCACCCTCTGATCAGATTTCCCCTTTCTACCAGTGGCCAACGCCCACATTTCTCTTGATTCAGCTGTCTTCATATTATATCGCTTTAGGTCTTTATTAATGGTCTGCATCTATGTGGTCTTTGGTCTGCATCTGGGCTTTTTGACTTTTGGATATTCTAGGAATACTTGTTTGGCAGGCGAATCATCTGGCAAGAATGCAACCATTTCATTCGTCTCTTCCTATTTTTTTCAGACCACAACTCTTCACCAGTATATTGTATAATTCATTGTTCGCAATTTTAAATGGCCAGTTTTCAAAGCTCTTAGTAGATGCCTTTGAAAGAAATCTATTTTATGCTCTAAAGATTTGTTTGGCGACCTTTGACATACGGTTTTTATTTTCATAATTATTATACCAATATAATTATTATTGAAATATGTAAAAAAATAATAGCAGGCCTGCTTTTCTAATTAGCCTCCCCCAAAGGAGCGAAGCATAATTAATATTTCACTAATCAGGTAATTTTGGCTAATTACCACCATACCGTAATATCTAAAGTTCGGTAATTTCGATTGGTTTGAAACTTGACAGAATGCAAGATGATAAGAAGTAGGAACATATTGTTTTTGGTACGTGTGTGGGTATGCTAATTGCTAATTTGCATGATTAATATTTCATAATTCAGGTAATTTAGGCGAGTTACCAGGATCTAAAATTTGGTACGTCTGATTGGTTTCAAACTTGTTGGTATATAGGCCTATGTGAATATGCTAATAGCTCATTTGCATAAGTAACACCCCACTAATCAGAAAATTTATGCTAAATACCATCATAATCCATTCCCCACCCCCTTCACCCACAAACAAAGAAATTAGATGAAATTGTAATATGATGTTGTCGCTGTTACACTAAATTGTTTGTTACCACGATAGCTAAAGTTTGGTAATTCGTGATTGGTTTCAAATTCCTACTTTTTACTTCTCAGAGAAAAACCACTCTATGGGGAGGCTATGCGTTCTAGTTATTGATAATAAAGGTAAAAAACTTTTCTTCTACTTTCGCCATAGGCCTAATATAAATTACACAATTTGGAGAACATTAGTTTTTTTCTCACTCGTTATAATAAAGGCCATCAGCTGTAGCTAAAAGTGACCAGAAAACAAGTTCCGTTCCAGAATAATGGAAACTACTTTTTGGATGCATATATTGTTAATTCAATCCTTGCTACACATTGTGTTAAAAGTTCTCCGCAAAACAACCTGCCGTTTTTTGTCAGGACACCTCCAAACATGCTGAATATACCCCAAAATAGCCGGTTTTGAGGTCTGATACCATGTTTAAGCGTCAACAACTTCGCAACTAATTATGTCATAGTCACAATTTTCAGCGTTGATAGAAGTTATAGTTTTAATTTGACAACTAAAAGCTGGAGATCCAATTCTTATTGGCCTTTATGTAATCGGAACTGGAAAACGGTGATTTACTCAGGAAAACTAGTTTTTTCAACTAAAATGCTATGTTTAACTATTAGTAACTTTGAATATAATGATACTTGAAGCTCCCAATTTTTAGCGTTGATAGGAATGACATTCCTTTTTATGATATTAATAATTTGGTAATTTAATGTGTAACAGTCATTGAAAAGAAAATACAAAAAAATGGCTATTTGTTTAAAAATACCTTCTTTATTCAACTAACATGCTATGTTTAAGCATTCATACTCATGATACTCATGATTTGATAGCTTAATTCGTATTATTCTAGATGATAAATAAAATGTGAATCCATTGTTCAATATATATTAACTTCTATTTTAAAATGTTTAGTACGCAACCATAACTTAAAAAGCAAGTACTGTGATGTTCACAATTTTAGACATTGATAGGAATGCAAGTGACGTGTTGAAAGACACTGAGATAATTTGGTAACCTAATTCAAAGTAGTCATTGTAATAAATAGAAGTGAAAGGGGGCCATTTTATGCATACTTTTTCAACTAGCTTGCTTTGATGATTAAGCTAAATCATAACTTTAAAAGTAATTATATATAATACTCATAATTGTTAGCATTGTCGGATTAACACTAATGACAATTTACTTTGATGAAACTGTTCATTAAGCAACTTTTTATTTTGTAGACTAAAATGATATTCTTGCTATCAATAACTTTGGTTATCAGCCATCATTTTTATAATGAAAGTAATGGAAATTGTAGTATTATACTTAAAAATATAAACCTCATTCTTATTAGCAGTTATTTAAACCAAATTGATATCAGGAATTTGTTCTACTACTACTACTACATTTACCAAAGCAACATGCTATGTTTAAGCATCAATATTTAAAATACATAATTATACATGACACTTTACTCATAATTTCTGTTATTTTAATAAAACTGAAAAAGACAACTTATCCTGGACTTAACTCTTTCAAACTTGCACCATGCCCATGAAGCACAATGACCATACTTGTTTAACAATTTTAAAACCTGAGATGATCCTGTCAGATGTCTGACAGTCAAACCAAGACCAAGAGACTTTGGAGTTTGCTTTTTTCCCTTTGATGTAAGGTACACAATATCTTGACAAATTGATAAAAGTTTCAGGTGGCTTTCACTTGAAACATCAACGTATGATGTCAGGGTTGGTTCATCTGTGGCACGACACACCAAGCAATTAAGTTATAGAGTTGAAATGGAACCATCTCCTTGACTGCATCAAGGTTAATATCTTCAGCTGTAGGGGGCCATGGGGAACTCATAGTGGGTGAAGCTCTTATAGCATTATACACAATGGTACCTGCATTGTAAATTGTTCTTTGTTTTTCTTGATCCATATATATGGAAGCATAACTGTGGAAAGTCCTTCCTTAAACGGTACTTAAGTTGATCAGTTCTGAAAAATATAAATTACATTATATTTAAATAAAATTCAAGTTAAAGTTTTGGCCTCAACACAAGAAATATTTCATAGTTTTTTTGCAAGTTAAATTTACAACTTATTTACCAATTTGGCTATTAATTACTTTTGCTAATAGTCCATTTACACATAATAATCTAACTATTTACTGCCATGGTTTCCTAATACTGCTATAAATAATTTCAAAATTTCAATTTTTTTTTTAATTGTGTTTTGATTTCTTAATATTTCTTACCTGTAATTTGTCATTTCAAGCCCTTCATGCTTTTTAACAATTTTTGAAAACAACTGATGTAACTTGGTCATCCTTAAAATCTCACGGTTCTTTATAATTCGTTGCTGGATGATTATCTCAGAGAAAATGTTGTACGACTTGTCATATTGGTGGTCCTCATCGGTTCTAAGCAGATAAATAAGGGCAAATTGTTAAATTTTCACTCCCATCTGCATCAAAGATTTGGGGAATATTGATGCAGGAATAAAAAAAAAAACATTTTTTACCACATTAATTATTTTAACAGCTTAAAAAAAACAATGCAATTTTGTGACTGGAAGTATACTTTCTTTAAAAACCAATAAAATAAAATTATTTTTTACACAATATGTACAATATTCTTTGCCAAATAAAAACAGACTCTCCCCAGCTAACAATATTACGTTCTAAGAACGTTATGATAACTTTACAGTTTGGTGATAAAAATGTTATTTTATAGAACCATTATGTACATACTTACAACCTAATTTCACAACCTCACAACGTTTAAACATTCTTACAACGTTGTGTGAAGTTTATTTTGTGACATACCTAACCACAGCATTCGCGAACGTTATACGAATGTTTTGTGTTTGCTGGGTCCCTCATCAATAAAAAAAAAAAACAACATTCTATTGTTCTGATTAAAAAAAAAAAAAAAACCACCCGCCCTCATCACGTTTTTCAGAAAAAAGACTGTTAATTTTTTCTATGTGTTCTAATGCAAAATAAATGAAAATCATGTCATTGATAGAAAAAATTTGATGGGAATTATATTAACTTCATACTTACATTTTAGCATCAACTTTTCTGGTTAAAAAGCGAGTGTACTGCTTGTAGCAAGAACGATGATAGTGCACCTCAATAGCTACACAGTCCTTGTCTCTTATGTGTATTAAGACACTCTCATCTGACTGTTCATTCAGACAGAGTCACTATATGTCTGAGGGTCATTGATTAGCTTAGGCAAGCATGCATAAATTACTGCTAAAGGTACCCGACAAGGACAAGGTCAGATATGGGCAAGTTAAAAAAAATTAAATCATACGTACCTCCGTCTTCAGTCTCTGCTTGGTAAAGTTTGTCTTTTTGACGTTTGTGGTTAAGCGTAATGTAGCGGTCACGATTTTTACAAATCAGACACATAGCTGGTAAAACTGATTGACTAGGCCTGGACGACCTTGTTTGGGTACCACCACCAGACGACAGGCCACCTAGGCCTATGTTGTGCGTGGCTGCTACAAGGCCCGCACTTGATCGTAATTTTTTCGGAGATTGTGGAAGCATTTCTTCTTCGCAACTATCACTAGAAGATATCTTATTTGCACATCTTTTTACAGCGAACTGATTCGTTTCCTATCAATAAATCTCCTATAACATGTAGGGTGAAACCCTACGTTCTGTAGGTTTTCAAAACTACCTTCAAATAAGTGCCTTGATATGTTTCCGCTAGGCTACGGTCAAAACCATCTAAATGTTGCCATTCCTTGGCACATTCTGATATTCTTTTCCAGCGTATTTCTGTCATGGGCTGAATGTATTCTGATGATACTGAATCTAAATGTACAATACATTTTAATTCTTGTGAATATCCTTTCCTTCTTTTCTTCGTCTTCGACTGCTTACACTCTGCCATGTTGGTTTGTTATTGTGTAAATAGCTGAAGCGTGAAGAAATCCATCCTCGCTTATTGGTTAAGCTAGGTCACATGCCTCTGAAACCCTGGTCGTCGCATGAATTTCTTCGGCCGTACATTAACAAAATAGTTCGTATTTTAAACTGAAAATACGACAATACTGCTGGATTTTACGTGGAGAACTTTTTGTTTTACCGAAAATTCATATATATAATACATGTTTCAAGTCAAATATTTTAGTCCCCCTTCTGCTGGAGAGGAATGAAACGATACAGGCTACAGCTGATCGTGTTTAAAGATCTATCAGGAAATTCGTTAAGCATTTTGATAGTACAGTAATTACATTACAGTTGATTTTATTTTCAATAGCTAATGTTATTATTAAAACGCCCATTGAATGCCATATACATGCAGTTTATCGTCCAAAATTTCAAAAAGATGGAATAGGTCCTTTCTTTCTTTTATTTTTCTAAAAATTGATGACTTATGTCGTTTTGATATTTGTAGAAAATGATCGAATTATACTGGTACGAACAATATCTTCACAGAATATTTTTCCTAAAATAAGGAAGGTGGCGATAATTGTTTTCTCTTCTTTTAATTTTCAGTTTAAATCTTTGAAATCAACAAATTAAGCAATTTTCAAGTGTATAATTGGTTCAGGCCGCTATATGATTTTTTTTTTTAGGGGAAAAACAATGCAAGATAAATCGACAAGAACATACAAGTAGCCAACCTTCAAATCCTTATAAAATCATTCAAATTTATCAGTGCCATGTGTCGCGAGCTTAAAAAACTGCTTGATTGTTTACATAAAATATTAGTGACGCTAACTGTCTATAATTATGAAGCTATAATAATTTATTATCGCTCTATTATTACGTGAATATTAATTCTACAGGTACGGTACACATTATCAAAACAGAATCCATTATGCGTGGTAAGTAAAAGGCTCTTTGATATCAGGCCCGTAGGCAGGATTTCCGATTGTGTGTGTGAGGGTGGGGGAGAGGGGAATTGAGAAGCGAGTTAGACCCCCCCCCCCCCCCCAAGTAAAAATGAAAAGAAAAAAATAAAGAAAAAGAAAAAAAAATGATCACTCAAAACGCCTCAGAGTTTATTTTCGGGCGTCTATAAAACAAAAATTTCGCGGGGGCATGCCCCGGACGCGATTTTTTTTTCCGTACGAAAGATTTACATGAAACTCCACTCGGGCCGTCTCGGCTG